CCCCCCCCGCATTCATGCCTCCAGTTTTGGTTCCCATTATCTTAATTTGCCTGGATCAGCTTTCACTAGTAAATACACAAACCACTGACAGCTGCTTCTATTTGCCAGACACTAAGACAGTTTATTTTTTTCCAAATATCTTTATTCAGTAGCATTATTTACACACCGAGAAATTTTCTTTGTGGCCTGGCAACTTGCTGAGATTAAGTTCTCTCACTATGTTCTGCTCTGATGCTGAATCAGGTCATTTTGCTCATGACTTTTTTTTTTTTTTTTCTTGAAGGCAACCAGGGTTGCCACAGAGGGATCAGCACGTTTGTTCACAGTTGATCATGCCGTTGCGACCTGACAACTATCCTGAGCTCCTGGTCGCAGTGGCGTGTTGTGTAGGTTTGCATGGGTAGGTGACTTCTGCCTGTGTGTTAGCTCTTGTCTTGCACTTCAGAACCTACATATTCACCTCAAGTAGCTCAAGTTACTTCTGTGTGGCATTCCAAACATGAGTCATTAGTAACCTGAAGCAGTGGTATCTGAATCTACAGCCAGCCAGCCTGCAGCTGCACTTTTCTCAGAGATATCTGGACAGTACTGTCACTCTTTAGTGTAAGCATCCTGAAATGGAAGGAGAGCCCACGGTTTCTGCATCCGATGCTTTTGGTGGATACATAGGGGTGCTTAGCATTGTGGGTTTCTTCGTTCTGATTACCAAGAGAATCTCTATGTGTGAGCTAAAAGTAAATGTGTCATTCATTTACTTACTTCCTTTTTGGCAGTGGTGTGATAGCTTGTGTTTTATGCAGCCAAATGAACCTGGGAGCTGAAAAACCGTTCTTTTTTTTCTTTCCTCTCTTGTTTTCCTCTTAACTCTACTTTGCCTACAGCGATTTCGTTTCAAGCTATTAGAGGTGTCTACTTCAAGGCAAACTGGTCTATTACATATTCAGTAGTGTTCAAAGCGAACACTAAGATACTGTATAAGAGATGAATAACATTGTCAAGGAACAAAAGTCGGCTGCGGTGGCCTCTTAGGAAACTCTGAAGTTTGGAGATGAGGTGTCTGCAATTACACGTGGATTGTGAAGTTAGTGAAATTGGAAATGGGCCTCTGGTAAACCAGTCACTCAAATGATCATGCTATAAAATGTTTATAATCCTTGAAGCAAACTATTTTAGTATTGCTTTATTGCTATTTTTGTAAATATTGTGATAGCAGTTATCGGTTAAAACTCAGGAAACTGTCATGGCTCTCTAACTTGAAGCAAATCTGGATCTATGATTATTCACATGTGGTCAATTATTCCCTTGACATATTCACAGTAGGAGAAGGGTAAAAAGAAAGGAAAAAATCACCTGTTTCTAATTTGGTTATTTCAGGTTTATTGTATTACTTTTTATTCTGATCATGGTAAGTATCCTTGTATCAAATGGTGAAAGTGTCAGACCAGGTGGAGCAGAAATTATGACAGAGGGAAACTGATTTCTCCAGTTGCCTTGAAGTGGCAGCTGGGGGAATGACAGGCTTTGAAATGAGGAGCATATCTATAGTGCTTGGCTTGAATTGTTCTAAACAAGGTGTTGAGCAGAATTCTCTCAGGTACAAGCTGATAATTTGAAAATTTCTTGGAGTATGGTATGTTTTGCTTAACTGACTGCAGTCAGAATTACTCACTGAGCATGAATTGTGCATGGACCTATTCTATCTTTGAGATTTAATAATTTTTATGATCTTCCCAGCCCTTTGCATGCAAAACATTTATTTCACAAAGTACAGAAAAAATTTGTATTGGCACTAATTAATTTTGCTGTTTTCCTTGAGGTTGTAATATGAAACTTAACTTTCAATGTCAGTAGATCCTGATTGTATTTTCAGGTTTATCCTTTTTTAAATAAAAGGGATAAATGGATGAAAAGATATGTGATAGTACCCATTTTTTTAGAACACATTTCTTCTGAAAACTAAAGATGAAAACTTCAGAACTATGTCCTAGTTAAGCTGACAGTCTTAGCATGCATATCCCAACTTGCAAATGTATCTTTAGGGAACCGTATAGGCCTCTATTAAATACTACTAGATGCATGTTTTTGAAGATGTCGACCTTACTTAGGCACACTTTATATAATACTGATACAGCACTGTGAGGTTTTAAAGCATTTGTGGGAGGTTAGATTGTTATTGATTTAGCAACTACTTTCTTAAGATGGATGAATCTCTCATACACTTTCATGAGTCAGAAAATGTAAGGTGGTTGTTAGTTATTTTTTCCTTGCTGTTGTACTTGTTATCCAGCATTAACTGCAAAAAAATCCCCCTATATTGTATATTGACTTACTGAGCAGGGTATCTTAAGTTTCTTTGCCAGAATGTGCATGTATGTGACATGCACAGGAGTAGATGTAGCCCCCTGTTTAGTATAAGGAACTACAGATGCTTATGTGTTGTCCACACTTAGAGGACTTTCTCGAGTTAAAAATTTTTATGCAACTTTGAAAACTGAAGACTGTTCTTTGTTTACCTTTGATTTCAGAGTGTCAATAGTATACCATGTCCTGTGACTGCAGTCAGAACTTTACCCGCCCTAGAAGTTAAACAAGCAGAAAGACCTTCAAGCAAAAGCAAAGATCCTCCTAGGGATGAAGAAAAAGAAAAGAAAAGAAAAAAACACAAGAAAAGATCTCGGACAAGATCTCGATCACCATTCAAGTATCATTCATCGTCTAAGTCCAGATCTAGATCACATTCAAAAGCAAAGCACTCACTTCCCACTGCCTATAGAACTGTCAGGCATTCAAGGTGGGTTTGGAAACCAAACATATTCTTTAGAGTTCTGTATGGGCTAACACTTAAACCATTTTTGCACTTCTTCCATTATATAAGCGTCTTTGTACCCATTACAAAGGGTGTAGTCACCTTGAAAACAGTAAATATCATTGAATGTGGAAGGTCTTTGAAAATAGTTTTAATGAAGTAACGAATCATTAATTTCTAATTACATAGTGCAGAATTTGTACCAGTAAATGCTTTTTCCTTCTGGTCTGTTAAAAACCTCGCAATAATACGTAGGAATGTGATTATAGCAGGAAGAGAACTTGCTACTAAGTCCATGGCTGTTGCTGGGGTGAAGTAACCAGACAATATTAAGATAAGAAATGGTGGAGAGAACCAGGTGGTTGAACAGCAAAGCTCAGAAGGAAAGCAAACAGTTGGGTAGCATGTGGAAAAAATAGGATGGATGAATGGCAGGAGGGATATGACAGGAATCAAAGAAGGGTGAAAACTGAGTTGATGAGGAAGGGAGACTATAGAAGAATTTAGCCCAGTGCAGTTAACTCTGTATTTAATCATTAATGGGATTAAATTCACTGTATTATCCAGCTATAAGATGACAGAATTAATATAACACAATATAATATATTATATTACAATAATATATTGTGTTATATTAATTCTGTTCATTACATCGAAGACATTTGGGTCTAGGCACCTTTGAAGTTTACTGTCTGTAAAATTTGTCATATCTGAATGCCCTGTCACATAGCAGTTACTGTGGTCAGTAGGAAGGGCTTGTTCTTCAGGTTGCATTCTCTAGACTATGCTACAGAACAGTGTTTAAGTAACTTGTAGTTCAAACAAACTGTGCGTATAAATACTACCACAGCTATATATGTATGTGATGCATGCAAAATCATACATTCCTTTATCTTTGTGGCCATGCCTATGACAGATGCTTCTTCCTGAAAAACAGCTTCTAACCCTTTACAGTGGTGTGACAGAACTTCTTATCTTATAATTTCTTTGTGCATTTATTTGTTTAACAGTCTAACTGCACTAATATGAGTAACTGTTAACACATTACAACTTTTTATTTTATACTAGATTTTTAAGGTTAAGTATACTTTGCTGAAGACATCTCTGCTATTCAGAGATGCAAGGAATTAAATGAACATAACGGGCTGAAATGATTAGTCTGACATGCTGCTTATTTGACTGCCTTTGACAATAGGTGGTCATGTTGCTCTTATGTTATGAGACACATTCCAAAATAGTGTGCCATTCCTTTTTCTGTGCTTACCAGCGTGTAAAGGAAATGGTGCTGAATGAAGGTTTTCTTGTTTAAGAAGTGAATGCAAGTCTTCTCAGAGTTAAGGGTATCTTGGGGAAAAGTCTCCTCGGCTGAATCACTCATCTTTTCAACTCTCTGTCAAGCCATATCTTCACTTGAAGCTCCCATGTCAATTCATCCAAGCTATGTTGCATGTATTTATCTATGATTTTACTGATAGATGGCAAAACCAAGGAGAAACTTCATAGTAATGCTAAAAAATATTTAAATCGTTGTATGTGGTACCTTGAAAAAGACAAAGAATCATCTGAGAAGATCCTTACCAGTACTTGGGTATGCTACTTAATAGGATAAAGATAATTCTGCATGTTGTATGAGTTTGCATCAGGCAGTAACCAGATTAATGGGAACTTGCAAGTTCAGTTTGATATACACTGAGATATGTCTTCAGTGACTTCAGAGAGATTTGATACCTGGTCCTTTTATAGAGTCTTGAACACTTTTACCACCTGGTCTACAATTGGTTCTGCTGGTGAAAAGACAAACAACAGCCTACTGAAGTATACCACATACATAGTGGATGGTCTCATTATGTTTTGGTTGTTGAGGGTTTTTTTTTGGTGGCCATAGTTCAGCTGGTGGAGAAATTACACAAAAATCACCAAGAATAGTTAATCTACAGGAGCTAATCTTTGTGTGCCATCTTGAGTGTGCCTCCTGGCACAAATCAAGTAACAGACACATAAAAGCCTTACCATCATGAATCAACACAACACCTCATTAAATCTGGTTGGATGTTTCCTAGATCCGCTGTTGTATTCTACAGCCTGAGAAGTCCGATAAGCTTGATACTGGCTAGCTGATTTTTAAAATTGTTTCAGAACAACTGCACCACATCTTGCACTGAAAACATTTTGCACATTATAAAACTTGACAGAAGTTAGAGCTGAACAGGAAAGGACTTTCCATTCAGCCTCTCTTTCTGTTCTGTGAGTATCAGTTTAAACAAAGGTCTCTGGAGGGTCTCTTTCCTACTCAGGAAACCCATTGTTCCTGGGAACTGAAGGCAGAATCATCAGTGCTGAGTGTGTGGACGTTCCTTTTGAGCTTTTTGCAGGCTATATGAAATGCCTTTAGTGGCAGTTATATCAGGTGGAAGACCTGTTAGCAAGATACATTCCAATTTCTATATATAGCATTTCACAAGAACATGACTAAATCTAAACTTTTGCCCAAGGACCTCTTGTAATTCAACTGTGGTGAATACCTTTCTCCTGCATCTGATACTTAATATACTGACTGTGTTGGTTTACTTTAATGTAGTCAGTAAAAACAAGCAAGTCTTATGCAGGATGCATCAAGTGTCTCCTTATCTGCAAGATGATGTTCTGTTTGGCTTCAACTAGAGTACTGTGTCCAGTTTTGTGCATCCTTTAGAAGGAGTTAGACCAGCTAGAGGAAGTTTAGAGGGAATCACCAAAAATTTTCAGAAGTTTAAAAAAAAAAAAAAAAAGGGGGAAGAGTGTTGGAATGACTGTTTGGGAGGACTGAAGGAAGTTGAAATGAGTCGTCTTGGCAAAAAAAAGAGGAACTAGAACATTCTTCTTCAGTCCTTGGGGTTCGGACAATAAGTAATGGATTTAAATTGATAACAGAGAGACTAGGAAGCTTTTCATAGTGTCTCAGTGGTAAAAGTAGTTAATACAGCTTGTGAATGCTCCGCTGTGGGAAATTGCTCTATCCAGAATTAGAGTTTGGAGAATATGGAATAGTCTTATTTCCTGAAGTCTTTTTTAGCCCAGCCTAGTTATGGAATAGTCTTATTTCCTGAAGTCTTTTTTAGCCCAGCCTTTCTAATTAGGGTCCACGTGGTCTCACATTGTACAAGAAATGGTGATGATTGAGGGTTTGCTTTACTGAAGGTGTTTGCTATGCCTTAACATGCTCATTGTATTTCCAAAATTAAAGCTCTCGCTCCTGAAACCAGAAAATTTGTAGAGTAATCGAGAGTGGGAGGCTGATTCATAAGCCAGTCAGATGCTGATGTGTTTGGTCTCTCAAATGTTTGGGCAAAAATAATGCCTTGTCTTAGTAATTGCCAAAAAAAGGCAAATGTTGCTGTCTAGAACATATGGCTGTTTTTCTTTCATTTATTTATTTATTTATTTATTTATTTAGTGTTGATTCAGAGAAAATTATTTTTCTGCATTATCTTGTCTCCTTCCAAACATGGCCCCTTTCATATCTCTGTTCTTCAGTTTTCCCAGTGCTTCACCTAGGACAATATTTTTTTCCTAGATGCTCAAAACATGGGAAGTTACAGCTTATGGCTGAATGAGTAGTTATGTAACGAGCCATACCCTCCTGGGATAAAATGTAAACTATTTCTAGAGGTTAATGTGTTCATCTTGTGGATGGTGCTTAGAGATAGTCTTTACTGTGTAGACATTAATGCTAAATCATACTGGAACATCCCTATTTTGAGCAGCTGTGCTTTATTTGAATGTCTCAGTCTAATGTTGTATGTTGGAGATTTTGTTGCCTTATTTTATTCTGTTCAAAATGTATATTCTAACCTACAAATCTCAATGTGAAGTGATTATTGATGCTTTATTTTACCTTAAGAGCGGACTGAAGAAAGCTGGTATTTTCCCTTTGTGTAGTAATTACTGCTCCGGTTCCTGTTAATCAAATAATTTAGAATAACAGACAGGATCTTTTTCTTAATAAACAAACTTTGATAGCTTTCTTGGAGAGTAGCTTTTTAAGTTTGAAGTATCTGCACAGTGAAAATAAGTATTTTGGATTTGAAGTTATTTAAACTTATTATATTTAAATTAACTGTGACAGCCAAAAGAGGAGCTATGCTTACTTCATAATTTTTCATTAGACTAGATTGCATTCAGATGATAATGATTGTAATCTCTAAATTGTAATAATGACTACTCAACAAAGGCCCTGTATTTGGGGAACAGTCTTAAAGCCTTAGATTTTGTGAGGTTTCCATATGGACATTAGGTGAGCTTCTATTTAAAAACACTTTGAGTAGTTATGATTTAATGATGTAAGTTGTTTCAAAAAGTAAGATTAAAAATCACCTTTGCTATGTAACTTATTGTGACAAGTTAATGAACTTTGCAATATGCTTCTTTGTATACCATTTTATATCACTTGTTTATCATTTATTTTTGCATTGTTAGAGGTGTAGAGGCTGTGCTTCATTTTAAAATAGTCTTTGGTGGTAAGATACAATTTTTGTACTCTTGCAATTTTTTACATTTTCTAATGCATCTTCAGCAGTATTAAAGTTGAAAAATTTTGTTCAAATAACATGAAGTTGATTTATAGCATGTTTTGGATATTCATTTTTCTGGGTAGCACAACCAAACCTGTTTTACATAAACAAGTTTAAAAAATCATAGCTCTATAAGGAACCCAAATATATTGGCTTAACTGTGGCATGTGGTGTGCGAACAGCAATTCTCTGTGTAAATGCATGTTATTTTTTGGAACAAAATTTCTGTACCAAAATTAGTCCCATAAAGCTCCTGGTATTGTACAGTTTTAATTCTACATCAACATGACAGATTACTCTTTCAATGAGTTTTGTTTAACTCTAAACTATGTCCAAAAATGCTGTAAGGTATTGCAGCTTGGGAGCTGTTAGTCCCAAAGAGGTAATTAGTTATTACAAATAAGTACTTAATGTCAAAGATGGGGCACATTTGTTAAATCTGTCTTGGAAAACAAAAAGGCTTTGGTACCTTTTGGTCATCCGTAGTAAATGCTTCGTCAGTGTCTGTTTTTCTAACTGACTTCAAAGCACCATTAAAAAGTTTGATGTGAAGTGTACCTGACAGCGGCGCTCTTCAAAGAGATGTAGGTTGTCAGTCACTGGAGTTCGCAGCGTGCTGTTCTGGCTGAGAAGTTAGGTTTCACAGCTGGTTGGCAGTAAGTGGAAATAATGACGACGTTCATCTGAATCTCTGTCTTCTACCAATAGATCTTTGTAGTACATGACCGAAGCTAATGATGTATTTGTATGTTCACGTGTGGTTTGCGTGTGTATGTGAGAGGAGAGGAAGGGAAGCAGAGGCACTCATTATGTACTGAATGATTTAGTTAGGTGAAATTTGGATGTTCATTTTGAACTAGAGTAGAGATGGAAAGTCTAAACTTCTCTTTGATATTGTTCATTCTTCTTTATACTGTCTAGTAATAGAGTAGTACTAATCCACGTAATTTATCCAGTTAATGAGTTATAAACAGTAATTAGTAGTGGCATACTTTATTGACAGGTAGCTTTCAATAAGTTTGGATAGAGTACACCTCTGTGTGTGTTTGTGTGAGACTTTGCCTCAATGTTAGGAATTTAAGAGACTTGGAAGTAGCAGTTCTTCGTAAAAAAGGTTGTTTGGGGGTTTTTTCCTCCTTCTGAACGGATTTTCTGGTTGCTGAGGCAGTGTCTATTCATGTAGCTTTAATGCCCGTTTTGTAATGAGACATGCCAAGCTTTGTAACCCTTTGAACTTTTGGGACTCTACTAACCACAAGTGATACGGACTTTAAAGGAATAGAGTGCCTTTTGAAAGAACAGTCTAATGAAAGTAATAATTGATGTATTGCAGTAAAACTGTTAAGCTATTTTTAATTGTTTGAAGCTAATGGCCAAAGTTCTTAACATTTGGTGATTGGAAGAATGTTGTAGAACCACAAACGTCAGTTCATAAAAATGAAGCTAATGCCTTTTTCTTTCTGATTGTTTGGACTTTTTTTAGGCTGGTCCATATAGGCATGTTTCACTAAGGTTCAGCTTTTGGTTAAGGGACTGAGCCCTTTCAGGATTCTAGTTAATACCAAAACTAGCACATTTTATTCTGAATGTGAAGTGTGTGCCTCCGTATCACAGACTCACAGCATCCACAGGGACACTGAGCATGGAGCCGAGTCTGAGCAGCTCATCAATGGCAGCAGCAACAGAGCGGGAAAATTATCAGGCAACTTCGACAACGAAAAGATTTGACTGCTGGAGCTCTTTTGAGGGAAATCCTGGTAAAATGTCAAGGTGTCTGACTGACCCCAAACTTTATAATCTGTTGGTTTTTTTCCTTTTTTAATCCTTCTGAATGGCCTGGTAAAGATCAGATTTCTAAGTGACAGTTAATTTGCAAGACTTAACTGCCATTGTGATTACTTTTTTTTCATTTTCAGTTGATCTCTTTTGCTGTAGGTGTAAGAGAAATGGCTCAGGAGTGTGTGCGTATATATTATATATATGATGTGAGTCTGCAGAAGATCAGTGATTTCACAAATGGCTTGCCTTTTTAGTCACTGCAAATTAGATATTTTCAAGAATAGGAATGTTTGGTATACATGGGATGACATACCTGTAGTAAATAAATAAGAAAGGCTTTAAAATAAATACACAAATAGAAATAAAATTATTAGAACTATATATCTTAGAACAAAACTAGCTGTTACCATCAGGAATTTTGGGCAGAATTGGGGTTTGGTTTTTTCTTTCTTTTTTCTAAGCTGGGTCCCTGAATTGCCCCTTTCTCAGTCTTCCCCCCTCCCTTCCATCTCTCAGGACTTTTCTCATTCCATTTATTTTGTTATTAAGAGATACCCAGGTTTTACTTGCACATCCACTTATTCCAAATCATAGAGAAAAAAGAGTTAAGCTCTTAAGTTGATCTCTGATCTTAACTGGGCATGCTTTCTTTTTTCCCCTCTTGATCTCTTTCTCTCACTTTTCTAGGAAGAATACCTCGAGTCAAAGTGCTAGTGCCAAACAACGCTGATCATGGGTTGTTGGTCACTTGCACAGGTGACAATATTGGCTGTGCTAGGATTATTCTACAGCATCAGGGACAGAATTTCCTGGACTTGTCAGTGTTGGAGAAGCACTGAAAACAAAAACTTGTATTTATCTCTGTGATGCAGCAGTTCTAAAAACATATCACTAATTTGAGAAGACAAGGTCAGGCCTGACAGTCCCAGGCTTTGAGCCAAATTGGACTTCTGCATATCAATGTTAGTAAAATCTGTTGCCACAAAAGGTGACTGGACTGAAGTAAAACTTTCCTGTCTACTAATACAGAGGTTGACATTAGCGCACAATACCAAAAAAGTAATTGCTTTCTTTTCCTCCCTGTTGGGAGTGAAAAGCAATGGATAACTACATCCTGAATGTCTTGTATGGGTAAGAAATTTTTATGCATCTGACAAGTCTTGGAGACTAAATACCCTATCTTGGTATAAAATAGGCATTTGAAAGGTGTTATATTTGCATTTGGTGACAGCACAATTCCACTGAAATAAAAGTAATGAAATAAGTAACAAAAAGCAAACTTTTGGATGTTTTTTTCCCTGCTCAGGTCACGATCAAGGTCACCTAGGAGAAGGGCTCACACACCAGAAAGGCGGAGGGATGAAAGAAGTGTTCCAACAGCTTATCGCATTAGTAATAGTCCTGGAAATAGTAGGAAACGCCCACGTTCCAAGTAAGTATACCCAGTCCTGGAGAAGGTTATGTCCTGGCATCGTAAAAGACTTTAAGCATTGCCTGATGTGTTGTATACTCTGCATTTTTTTATGTTCTGGAGCTTTATTTTAATAGACAAATAATTCTGTGGAGAAAAAAAAATAATAGAAGCACTCATTCTTCTTCCTGCATTCTTGCATATGTTTGAACACTAAACGTACAATCAAAATGGTGGACATTAATACGTTACTATCTCCTAGCTGTGAGGGTTCAGATGTTGTTTGGACTTTCATATTTCCTTCTTGTCTTATGCTCTGCTTGTGCCAGCTATATGACCTCTGCACAGAGGTCATACAGTGGTATTAGGTTATTCCTACTGGTATTGCGTGACATCTCATTATAGCTGTGCAAATAAGAGTAAACTCCCGTTTAGAAAATGGTGTGCTTTACATTTAGCAATTATTGTACTGGCAGAGTGGAATGTGAAATGTGAATCAAGAGATGCCTTTTTTGAGAGCACCTTGCGTATAGTCTCTGAACCTATTATAATCAAAATGGCATACCAACAATTATTTCAGCTTACCAATTGTAGAAGAAGAACATCTGCAAATTGTGTGCCCAGAAGGCTTTGAGATGTTTTGTGTCTAATGTTTTGTGGCATGTTGTGTCTTCAACATGCAAGGAAGTGAAAATTTTTCATGCTTGTATATGTACACCTGAAGTGTACACAAAACCCAACGCATTGAACATACAGAATTTTTCTCCTCATCAGTGAACATTTAGTCTTTAACCTGTTTCTCCATATCTCTTGTGGAGTAAGAAGCAAAGAGATTGCTTTGAACTTTATTAAAAAACTTCTGTTGTTTCTTAAGATAATTTTCCATCTCTTGACAGCCTCTAATTAATTGATGTGTGGTATGTATAATTGAGAACTTCATCAGTATACTTCAACTGATTCAGTTTTTCACATTCATCAACTTGAGATAATAGAGGCTTCTGTGGAATCCAGCATGCAAACTTTGTTAAGCAGAAAAGATATGGAAGCTTAAAATTATTTTCTTCCTACAAACACACACAAGAGTTTGTTCACAGCCCTGTGCTATTTTTAATGCAGTGTTGTGTCTGCTGCTTGACCATTCAGTATTTTAAGCTATAAATTATTTCTAGAGTTATGCCACTCCAAGTGGTAAATTATGGTGCCAGTTGTGAAACAAACTAGATTCCTCTTTAAACAGTGTTGTTTATATAGGTGGAAATTGTAAACTTTTGTTAGACCTCAAACAGGAAAACGGAACACTCCACAATAAAATATGTCAGTAAGTGGAAAAAAAAAAAATGTAGACTGAAGAAAAAATATAGTAGTTAAATATAGATGAAGATATTTTGCAGCTCTGATTGCAGAAAACGTACTGTTTCAGCCCTATTAGGACTGATGTTAAATTTTCAAGTAAGAATGTAGATGCTGTGATGGACCGTTTTTCATCTTCAGTTATAGCGTAGATTCTTTGCAATGGTGTGATGGAAGCAAGGGTTGGGTTCAAGGTCACTTAAAAGCTCATTGGCTTACTTGGGCTTTTTATGAGTGAGTAATGTATACTTTGCCTGATAGCTGAGAGCAAGTTTCAATCTTACATGGCAGCAATCAGCTAACTGATTTTTGTTAACCACAGTTACGCTAAGAAGTAGGCAAGCTTTAGAATCCAATACTGTCACGGGACTGAGGGTTAGGATTAATAAATACAGCAATATTTTAAATTTGCTCAGGGCATTAATCGAATATCAGTCATGATGCTGAATAGCTAGCATTGCTTGTAAATTTTTAGGTATTTTTCCAGCAGAAAATATGTAAGTACTTGGAAGCTATGCTTTACTTTTGTCTTGTTTGGGAATTACTGGCTCACTGCTTGTAGAATTAGGTGTACTTCAGAATAAATATAACAATTGTGTTTTCTTCTGCTTACCCTGGACCTCAGTTGCCATCATAGTCACTTTAAAAACAAGTCTAATGTAAATTAGTGTTTTAATCTGACTCTAGTGGATTACTTTCCACAAAGAATATGCATAGTTCTTTTATGCTACCTTTTGTACCTAGAAAAATATTAAAAAATAAGCCTGGTTTATAACAAATGGACTGTGCTAAAAACAGAAAATTGATAGACACATTCATTCAGCTGTTGTGATGTTTATTGATCATAATCTGAGGTGAAAAACACCAAAAAAGCTTACTGTAATATACTCTTCTTGCATGATGAATGTTTGCTGAGATTTTTAAAGAGCTAAGTATGAACTATGTTCAGAGCTTGATTACATGATGATGTTTTAAGAAACTGAGCAATTACAGTACTAATTAGCTAGTAAAGGAATAACCAACTTTGTAGCTGATATTTTTTGTATAGTCATGAAAATGTTAGAGGCCTGTAGAGCTGTGGATTTTTTCTTCTGCCACTTAATGATTATTTATGCAAGAAAAGTGTAAGGAGATTTTACAATTTTAACTCCTGAATGTTAAATTCTGTATCAAAATGAGGTATTTGTATGATAAATTCTAAGCATCAGAGGAGTACAGTATTTATATGGGAATTTAATATGTTACAGCATAGCTGCTTTTAACATAGCGAATTCCTAAGAAAATCAAAATAGAGGAACCAGTAACGTGATTCTTAAAAGATGGCTTCAAGTTTTACAGTGTTTTAAGATGTTCTAGAAACTTGAACAACATTCTTCTGACTGGACTTCTAGCAGTGCATGCTAGAGGGGGATGCCTACAATAAGGTATTGCCTAACTCTAATTAAGGCATTATTCTAGTAATTCTAATTACAGTAATATCAATACTGATATGTAAATCATACAGACATAAATTCATAACCATGTATAAAGATTTTTATAGTTCCGTCTCCAGTATATTACTAATTGAATTCTCTTTGAGTTTAATATTGCGTATGAGGAGGCTACCTCTGTTTCCCCCTTCTGTCAATAATGAACACATTAGGTATCTGTAAGTCCTTTGTTTCAGCTCTCATAGTGACAAACATTTGTGTCTCTAATTTTCAAGGCACAAACAGTTTGCACTTAAAACACATTTGCTGGGTCTAGTTTTGTCTGAGTGGCATACAAGAGCTTGTTTATTATTTTGGGCCTGCGGTTTGTTGCATTATAGATTGGATCGCAAGGAAAAGGGTAATTTCTTTTAAGAAGCAAAAAAACAAACCATGGATTTGCCTTGTAGATCTTTTGCATAGCTATGATTCCATGGTTTGCTCATTTATGAGCTGGGAAAATTGTAAGGGACATAAACTCTTACATTTCTCATTATATTCTAAGTGTCTGATGTTTTTGGGGAAGGAACTTCCCTCTAGCAAATCTCCAATGAGAGACTTTTCATTGTCATCCTTCAAATTACCAAATACTGGCCAGTAATTCCTGTGCACCCATGAAGTAGCATTCCTGAGCATTCCTCAGGTACTAGTAGTTGCATAATATAATATGTTAAAAAGAGCTTCTGAGAAAGTATTTTGCACAACCGTAGAAGTACCGTATTGGCGTAAGACTCCAGTGCTTGCTGAATGCATCAGAAGTAGCCTGTGAAAGAGGGCTGCATAAACTTTTAGAAGTGTGAAAAGTAACTTCAACTGAGCTAGTGTAATATTGCTTTAAATATCCTTCAGTAAAGTATTTTCTTCTTGCAGAAGTCCCCATGAAAAGAAGAAGAAGAGGCGGTCTAGATCACGTACCAAGTCCAAAGCTAGGTCTCCGTCACCATCCATGTCACCAGGCAAACCATCCACACACAAAAATTCTGTACATTCAACTAGTGTCTCTCCTGTGGAGAGCAGGGAATCCAGCCAGGAACGCTCCAGGTAATATGCTCTTTTACTGTGATACTGCAGAGATGATGTTTCTTGACTGTGTGTCTTTTGACCTAACTTCAATGGCGAGGAGTTCTCTGTGTGTGTAATGTGTGCATATTAAAAGTAGAAGACACTGGGAGGACAGCACTAAGTTCATCAGTCTAATGAAGACATTGAATCTCTGTTGCCTACTGGAGTAAACATCTCAACATACTCTTATAGTGAAACTGGTGTAGAAAATTCTAATTTGGTTTTACAACACTCTTAATGTTTCAATCACTGTCATACGTGACAATACTGCTGCTATGTAAATTTTTGGTTCAGGTTTACAAAGCAAACAAAAAGAGCTTTCTGTTATAGAGTAATTGTTAGCACACTCTTCTTACCAACTCCTTTTCTCTTCTCTCTTCTCTCTTCTCCTCCCTTCTCTCTTCTTCTCCTCTCTTCTCTCAATGGCATAACTCTTTGAAGCAGAATTTTAATAGAGTGCAAGATTCATAATTAAATTATTTCTACACAATATAGAAAAGTCCTGTCAAAAATGCCTAGGCTGTTGTTCATTTTTCTCTGTATCAGCTGGATGAGTAACTCTTCTGACTATGACTTATCATGGCTTCTAGCTGAATGAGAGAACTTTTGACTAACATGAGACTTGTACAATTAAACCCAAAATTGTGATGGTGAGAGAAATGCATTTTTAAAACATTTACTATAAATTTCTAATTCTAATTTTACTTTTTCAGGGGAGTTTCTCAGGAAAAAGATGGCCAAATCTCTTCAGCAATTGTGTCTTCAGTGCAGAGTAAAATCACTCAGGTACAAATTCAGAGCATGCTGTCTAATTAAGTGTGTCCATCATACCATTTTCTTCTCTTACTACTGTGTACAATTCTGAGCTTTGCATATGATGTAGAGACATGTTTGTTGTCATTCTTAATCTGTTTGTTTATAAGAAACTATTTTGTTGCTTCTCTAGCTACTGTCCTTTCAAGTTTAATCAAGCCTCTAAAGACCGAGCTAAATTCATTACGCTGCAGTATATCCACTGTTAAGATATGAAAGTCCACATTATGCTACAATACCCCAGTTACCAATAGCAGGCATTAGTGAGGGCCCATCTTACCATGTAGTGCTCTTAACAAGCTTCATGGAAGAAAGGATGGAGAAACACCTTGGAAAAGGCTAAGTTTGTAGTGTTGGCAGCAGAGGAAAAACAGGTCCTCTTGCAAACTCTGAAGTAAGTGTATGCTTGCATTAAGCAGTATCTTAAACTCACTTGTCTTACCTTTGTTGCTTTTATGTCTCTGAACTATTGTCATTATGATTTCATTGATATATTCAAGTTCACTGTGAATCATGGCATATCAGGTATGTGCCTCTATATGCTGTGCAATAATGTAAATGCATTCAGCTTCCCTAACACCGTGTTAAGATACCCAACCTCCGTCAAAATCATTCCATTCCTTTTTTAAAAGCTGCTGCATGGTATCACTCTTTAAAATTTTTTATTTCATTCGTCCTCTTAGAGTCTTCATGCATATTTAGCTTTCTTTCAATTGAGTGTGCAAAGTTTAGAGGAGGAAACCTCTTAATTATGTTTTGGAAAATTTACAATATAAAATCAGAGTTGCTTTTTATATTCTCTTTTTTTTTTTTTTTCAATGCACAGATTATTCTTTCAATAAATTAATATTGTTCAAAGATTTAGTTCTGCTAGGGAAATAGTCATAGTTGGGAATTAATACTAGTAGACTAGTACCATACATGCCATATTTGGTCCATTTTCAATGAGAAACCCAAAACAAGAATATTCAGGAAAATATAAGAGAGCAAGTATAGGGACCAGAGAAAGAAAATGGAGTATTAACGCCATAGCACTTCTTAGGCTACCAAACAAATGCATGGATATTCCTGATATGAGAAATGAGATATGAACTGCATCATGGTCTTCAAAGTAGAGTAAACATCACACCCTTTAAAAGCATATACCCTTCAGACAAAGGTAATTGGTTCGTGCATTTCCTGGGTAAAATACTGCTTATGGCATAGTGTTTGCTAGTTTAATATTAGTCTATTTGCTTGAAGTGCAGCTGTAAGAGGAGGAAAGATTGCTATATTAAAATGCAGTTATTAGTTACTATTTGCAGAAAGTAGAAAAGAGCAATGAAACTTTTGTGAATCTGCAAGGTATTTCCAAACATAAATCAGTTTAACAACTTTTTATCTCTAAGGGCCCGAAGAAATATAATTTATCTAATTATTAGTAAGATTATTTTGCTGCCAGTGTGCTGGCTGACCCTGACCAATTCAGTACCTTTTCTCATTCAGATCCTTCCATCTGTAAAGTGGAATAATGATGCTGAATTCCCCTATGAAGTGTTTTGAGAGCTTCAGATGAAAAATGCTTTAAAAGAACTACGAATTTTAATTCGTTTATATAGCATTTGTGAAGAAACGTTTTAAGTAACTTAATTCATTACCGATACACCTTTTTATTTTGTGATTATTTTTTGCAACCCAATTACTCAATGCCATTTATATGAAATTTCGTTTCCTTTTGTAATACTGTTCCCACTGGATACTCAGACAAGACTGAGAGTTGCTGTTTGGTTTTACAACAGTCTTAATGTTTCAATCACTCTGTCATATATGACAATACTGCTGCTATGTAAATTTTTAGTTCAGGTATACAAAGCAAACAAAAAGAACTTTCTGTTATAGAGTAATTGTTAGCAATTCTCTTCTTACCACCTCACTCTCTTTTTTTTCTTTTTCTGTTTTTTTTTCTTGTTTTTAAACCTTCAGTGGTTAGTAGTTGTGTGTTCATTACAGTTTTTGTGAAGAAACAATCACAGTTTCTTTCCATTTCAGTTGGCATGATTTCTGTGTTTTGTTGTATAGAAACTGTATTTATGCAGAGCACTTTGTAGCGTTGTAGTAAAAACAGCCTTCAGTCGCTGTCATAGGAACTTTCTCCAAATTATTTCACTAATTTAGCCTAGGGACTGTTAATATCTGATGACCATGAATCTAAACATTCTATGTGACTGGAGCATAAGAAAATCCTTTTGTGCAGGTTTTTACAATCACATGCTTTAGCTCTGTTCAAAGCCCAGGCATGTCTGATCATTTTCTTTTTATTTGCTACAGGATCTTATGGCCAAAGTGAGAGCAATGCTTGCAGCTTCCAAAAACATACAAACTAGTGCCTCCTGAGACGTGTTGAACTGACCATCAAGAAATTGTGTGGAAAAAGAACAATATGAAAAAAACTGCCTCATCTCAAATGTACAGCTGAGCTTAGCTCACCTGGTTCACAACTTGTCTAATATTACCAGAACTCAAGGAGCTAAAACCTATCTTTCTGTACAGAAGCGTCTCCTTGAAATTTCATTAAACTTTTTCAGCCAGAATATCTTTGAAAAGTTTTTGGTTTTTGTAAATTGATTTTTTGACTAATTCTTCAGTAACATTTTATGATCAGCAGTCTTTATGTGTATATTTGTAAATACCATGTTTCTGTGGAAAAAGTATTACACAATAATAAAGAAGGAAACATCTTTCATTAGCTAGAGTTTTTGTGGAGTCCTTAATTGTTTGCAGTTGACTTTTGTTACAAATACATTTTCTTTTTCTTTTAGTACTTTCTGCTTTTTGAAATAACTGTCTAGTCTGTGTGACCACCTTAAACTGAGAAATACTTTTTACCTTCCTTCATGCGCAGAACAAGCTGAGAATGCTTCTTTGCTTGAATGTTAGTAGTTGGGTAGTTTTTGGACAAGGGATGTGATTTTCTGTCCATCATTTAGAAAGATCTCTGAGCCTCTATTTGAAGAGTGGACTCTGAAGTCAATAACTAATGGTCAGTAGCTCCTTTGTCTTAATGTGCCTTGTTCTCTCTAGTTAGCTACAGAAAAGAGTGTATTTTTGTGGTCATTCAGCAGGCATACTTTACAGAAATCCAGCATTCTTCTGATTTAACATCTTTCATATGGTTGAGAAAGATGCTTACTAACTTATGTTTTACTGACATATACTTAAAACTTTTCAGGAAGCTTGTGGCCTCCATATAGTTGCATGTTTGTTTATTATGCATTCCTTGTTGTACACTGAGACTATTTAATTTTTAATTGAAATATTCTTACAATGAGTACAAAAAGACACGTGTGAATTTTCCCCAAGCCTGCTTTAACTATGAGGTTTTGTAATAGTTGGTGTATTCAAAAGGTGTCCTTATTGGCAGTTGTCTGATTCCATAAAGAGTAGAGTCAGGGCTTTTAATGACCCCTGAAAAACTCTGTGATCTATAATCAGAAAGATTGTGGTTATAGTGACTCATGTCCCAATTTTCTCAAATTTTATAGAGAGTAGGTGGAGGTTGAAGATGGATTAGAGAAATTAATGTGGTAAAGTTTACACTTATTCACAAACTAGTTGGTAAGGTGACTACATAGAACTACACAGATGATTAACTCCAAAATCTTCTGGTTCAAAGCAAGAAGAGGAGAAACAATGCATTGATATAATTCAAGCTCTGAGTAACATGATGGATAAAATGGTAGTTGGTATGCCACTTGCTGGTGCTCACTTGGAATGAGAGAACATTTAAGTCATTGTGAACAATAGTCAATCAGGTTTCTTTTCAGTTTTTGGCCAGTAATAATTAGCAGAGTGTGCTGGTTTGGGCTGGAATAAAGTTAATTTTCTTCACAGTAGCTAGTATGGGGCTGCGTTTTGGATTCATGCTGGAAACGATGTTGATATTTTTGTTCTTGCTGAGCAGTGCTTACACAGGCTCAAGGCCTCTTCTGCCTCTCACCCCACCCCACCAGCGAGCAGGCTGGGTGGGGAGAAGAATTTGGGAGGGGACACAGCGGGACAGCTGACCCCGACTGACCAAAGGGACATTCCATACTGTATGATGTCATGCTCAGCATATAAAGCTGCGCAAGAAGAAAGAAGGGAGGGATGTTCCGAGTGATGGCATCTATCTTCCCAAATCACCATTACGCTCCAGGGATGGAGCTCTGCTTCCCTGGCGATGGCTGAACTCCTGCCTGCCCATGGGGAGTGGTGAATGGATTCCTTCTTTTGCTTCACTTGTGTGCGCGGCTTTTGCTTTGCCTCTTAAACTGTCTTTATCTCAACCCACGAGTTTTCGCACTTTCACCCTTCAATTCTCTCCCGTGTCCCACCGCGAGGAGTGAGTGAGCGAGCGGCTGCGTGGGGCTTGGTTGCCGGCTGGGGTGAAACTATGACACAGAGTTTACGCTTCTACAAACAATGGAAAATGCTGTGTCTGATGCAGAAAAATTCCATTGTGCACATAAGTTGTGATGAAACAGAGCCATCTGAATGGTGAGGCAGAATCATGTTATCTACCATTTACCTAATTATTTCAAAAGTATTTGTAATGTTTTGACTAGGACAAAAGTAACTTTCAACCAGTGCGAGAGAGATAACATTTTCTCTGTACGTTTTGATGAAACAGTACTAGTAGAGACAGAGATAAAAAAGGACATAAAAGTAAATTTTGTAGGCAGCTGTTGTAGATTGTTGTGCAGTGTTAAATTTACAGCAGCTTTATTTTTCCCTCCTAAATGGAGTTAAAAGTCTCACCGTGGTTAAATAATTGGCAGCTTGGATGCCAGTTGTTTATCATGTAACGGGAAAAAAGCCCATCTCTGATAAAATAGACTGGGCAGCTTGTTTTGCTGCTGCTTTGCAGATTTATTCTCTCTGGGTAGGTTGTTGCTCTAATGACTTCTTAAAATATTTTCCCTCCCTGTGAGCAAGTCTTTTTCCTGGATTTTTTTTTTCCTTTTTCTTGTTTTTGGTTTTTTGGTTTTTTTTACTCCCTTTTGTGGTATGAAATGAGATGGAGCATTTAGCTCCAGGAAAAATTAGATTAAACTGCATTTTTATATACTCTTTATTGTTTACTGAGGTTTGTTTGCATTTCGCACTCTCTCATGGGTAGTGGCATTCTCCAGAATTTAAAAAGTAGTGGTGTTTTTATTGTGTTATTTGTTCTCTTTCCAACCAGAATGGACATTTTCACCATATTAAAGGGGCTTGAACTGCTTTACCAGAATAATTCCTTTGTAATGTATTCACATTTAGAAATCGATGCTGCTTTTTTGGTCTGTCTTCACGGGCACTAGCTCTGTTGTAACTGCTTGTAAACATAGCATGGAGCTTGTGATACAGTCGGTACGATTTCTGGTGCCTGATAAATCAGGAGAATGTGTAACCAATATCAGGAAGGTGGTTTAAGAACTTCAAACTAGAAAGTTTTCAAATTTCTATTTTCCAGGTACGGATTTTCAGTGCAACCCCTGGAAGAGACCTCTCTGTGGACCCAGCTGTAGGACCCTGCCGAGGCACCTGGGGCCACCGGCAGCAGGTCCGGTCAGGAACAGGGAATTGGGCTGCGTCTCGCTCCCAGCTGCCCTCCACGCAACTGTGCGTCTCAATCCCTTGCCACGTGGCCAGGCACCGAGGGGCCTCAGGAGGTCTTCTGTCACCTGGCTGTGTTGCCAGAATCTTGTTTCTGGTGGGAAGTACATGAGGTTGCTACAAGGGGGAGTTACGGAATTGGGGGAGCCTTAGCTGGAAGAAAGTGGGCATTGAGTAGTCTTGAGGAAGGTACTGTGGCAGCTCCAAGTTGTCAGCAACTAGTTTTAATTTTTCAAATTTTTCGGTTTTGTGGAAACAATATAACGTGAGATTGCTTTGCTTTAAATTCAGTCTAACACAGTAATTTAAGCAACTCGTTAGCTGTGTAGGTACTTTGAATTTTTTCCTCTGTGTGTGTGTAACAAACCAGAAGGACTTGGAATATTAATGCTGGCTTTCCAAAGCCCTTTGGAAGGGTCTTTTTGTGTGGAATGTGCTAGCCAGTCTTTCCTCATTGTCTTAGGAGTTTCAGATCATAGTTTGGAAGATAATTTTTTTTTTTTAAGTTGTCAGTTTATACAACAAAACTTTATTCTCTCTGTATTCATGCAGAGTAGCCTTCTCAAAAAAAAAATCACTGACAGACAGTAGGAGCTGCTCAAGAGTTGTTTCTCTGTGGAGATTCAGGTTCAACTGAGATATCAAAAAAGTACTTACAACTTTGTTAAGTTTTGAACCGCTACATCATTTGCAGACTTGGGTATTTGTAGGTGTTCTAGACGTAACTTTCTCGGTGATGGATAGCTTTATGAAACAAAGCTAATAAGACAAAGGCATTGCTACAGCAAAGGTAGTGTGTTAAGTTCCCCACCTTTCTTTGTCAAATGGAAGTGAAATAGGTGCTTGTATACATCTATCCTCCAATCCCCGATACCAGTTTCCTTCAGAGCATATTTCTCAGTACAGACTTCATCAGCTTTGCTCAATCTGCCCATCTAGGTATCATCTTCATAGTTCAAGAGGTGGATTCATAATAACTTGTATTAAAGATGCTCTAATTTGAAATAATTAGATGCGTTCTACACCTTCCTACTTGGCTCTTCAGTCAGCTGGTGGGTAGCCTGTTAATAAAAAAGTTAACATCATTTGGCCATCTCAGTATATACTTTTTGTATTTATACAGGTGAAGAGACCTTGCTCCCACTTGTAGGGCAGCTTCTATCGAACCGAGTTAATGGTTTGGCATTGAACGATTTGGCTCTGTCAGGAAGCTGACAGCCATTGAGATGTATCTGCGGTCTCTTGATCCTGATTTCACATCTGTTGTCACTTGTAACTCTTTGTATCATAACATTTTGTTTGACAACAATTATTTTGGAACATACTTTCTCACTTGTAAACTTCATGCATTAGAGACAATCAAAACCATACTCTCCATTTTTCAATGGGGCAACAAATGATAAGATTTAGTATTCATGTTTTCTTTGATTGAAAGCAATGTCTGTTTTGTGAAGACATTTTATTGGGAAATCCTATTTAATTAAATTTCTACTTAATTAAATTGCATTTATCATCTATTCCTCTTCTCCCATCCCTACCCAGCAACTAATTATATGAAGCGAAGAAGTAAAAGACCTGTGGATTGGGGTTAGTAAAACACTAAAGCATCATCTTTACTAATTTTTCTTTTGCCTCATGATCTGAAAGCATGAAATACAGCATTGCACTGATCTAACATTCTTATTTTCATCTCATAAATTAACTTGGCTATGACTTTATGAAAATGTGTTTGAAATTCTCCTAAATGCAGCTCTTATAAGTTGAAAGCTCAATGTTTGAATTTTTTTCTGTTCTGATTTAAATATGAACATGTTCTGAATATTTTGTTTTGCTTTTAGACAGATCCTTTCAGCACCAAAAGTGGAGTTCGGTTAAGTATTACATATAAAAGGAAAGGCTTTATTGGAGCAGTTGGTTGGAAACTAATACATGCCTGCACGCTAATTAGGTTTCAGTCTTTCTGGTGGCCAGCTGGTGTGGTATTACTTTTGTTATTCTGTTTGAACCATTGAAGGATTCTTGATAATTCTTGATGCAAAGCATGTCTTTGATTTTTGTCTTAATTTTCCCCACTCTGGATTACACAGGAGATGAATATAGGTATGGAAATACTCT